AGAGCTGACCACAGAGTGCACACAAATGTATCTGCAAGCCTTGGAGAATGAGGCAGCGCATCTACAGACTTGGGGACATCAGAATAGCAAGAATGTAAAGAGAGCATGGACAGGAGACCAGCAGGCTGTAGGGACTGATAGCTAGACAGAATCAAAGTGCTGAAGCTGGTGAAGAGCCTCACGTGAGCACTCTCATTCTGCCTGGTAGTTTGGGAGTCTGCTTGCGGAAGAACTGCACCCACCCTACCTCACAGTCTGTTGTCATTTACGGCTAGGAAAGTGAGTGCACTCAGGAAAATACTTGGTTTTATTACTCATAGGATATGAGAGGCTTGATGATTAGGAAAATGAATCAGATCTATTTTCTTAGTTGATGAAGATGCAGTCTCACAATTTATGTAGTCTATGTCTTACCATTAAAATTAACATTGCAGACAGAAGTTCCAATGTGAATGTAGTTTTACAAATTAAATTACCTTCAACTGTATATGTATCATAGACATCTTTGTGCATGGATAAAAACCATTCTATAAAGTATGTTTCCAATGTCTTGATAAATTTTGCAAATATGAGTTTTCAAAATAATTTCGATAAAATACAAAACCTTAACTCTTTTTTTTTTTTTGTCGGTTATAGGGCTTGAACTCTGGGCTTGGTGTTGTCCCTTAGCTCTTCAGCTCAAGGGTAGCACTCTACCACTTGAGCCACAGTGCCACTTTTGCTTTTTCTGATGGTTAATTGGAGATAAGAGTCTCATGGACTTTCTTGCCTGGGCTGGCTTTGAGCCATGTTCCTTATACCTCAGCCTCCTGAGCCACTGGCACATGGCAAAACCTTAGCTCTTTTGCCCACTATTGATGAATCTAGAATTTTTCTCAGTTTTTGCCCTGATAGAAGTAAAGTGGTGATTATCTTTTCAAATATATCTTTGCAGTCTTGTGTGACCTTTGCACTCTTGTGTCATCTGGGCACTCTTGTGAATTCCTAGAAATAAAATGGCTGGATCAAAGGGTACATAGGAAAAGACAAATCTGAATCTACTGCCAAATTGCTCTACTAAAAATTTGTTTCAGTAAGTAGTAGCCAAAATAATCTTTGAGTGGGATTGACTTCCTCTCAGCAACATGGGTATTTTCAAGCACATATATTTTCACCTATCTGATCTATAGAAAAAAACGACTTTGTTTTGAATTTCTTAAAATAGAAGAGGCTAAAGGTGTTTCATCCTGGTTGACCATTTGCATTTCCTTATGCATGGGTGGTCTTCAGTGTGTTTTACATAGTATTAATATCATTATTTCTAATTTCTTATTTCATTTTCCTGACATGATTATTTTCCAGGTTTTATTTTTAATTTTTCTGTGTCATTGGGTTTTATGACTTCCTTTGAAGATAATATTTTTAGCCTAACTAATATTTTTTTGTGTTTAATAGATGAATGGTATTTATAGGGTTTTTTGGTATTGTTCTGATCTGTTCAGTCCCTTTTGGAGCATATTATCATATTTTATTGGTGTATATTTTGTTCTGAGTTTGATTTTCTTTCCTGGTTTCCTTCTTCTTACTTACATAGGTTTTCTGTGTTTCTTCTTTGCTCCTTAAGTGGTTTGGAGACTGTATACTTCATATATATATATATATATATATATATATATATATATATATATAAGCAATAATTAGGCTTAAATATTTAACAGGCATATTTGAATCATCTATCAAGAAGAATGATATTATGATATTAACAACGTATCTTTTTGAATGAGATGAGATTATAGACTGTTCTTCTATGGCTGACTAGTATCACCCTTAGTGTATCCTGTGTTGCTGTAATAATTGTGAACTTTAGGGATTATTTATTATTATTATTATTACTACTACTACTACTACAGCCTTTCATTTCTCATTGTTTATTTAGAATTTCCCTAATAATAGCAGTTAATTTCATAAGAATTGACAGTAGATTTATTCAAAGTTCTCTTTGTGCCTAATTCTGTGGTATCATATATTCTTGTCCTAGAAACTGCTTTTATTTCATATCTACTTCTTTCAGAAATATAATGCTTTTGAGTTCTTATATACCTAAGAATATTTTTCCTCTTCTTCATCTTGCAATGGGATCAATCCTCCATGTTTGTTAGAGCATTGTAATGTCATAGTTCTTGACTGCAATAGTAATGGATGACTTTGAACTCTAGTCTCCATCTGATTGGAGAGATAAACAGATATTTTAGGCAGAAGGACCAACCTGGGAGATTGTTTAGGAAGCTATTTTATTTTTTTAAAATTAGATTTATTGTCTTATATGAATGCTGATAAAAGGATATATTGAGAATAAAACTGTGGCTAACGAAGAGAATTGGAGGGCTGGGAAGGTGGCTCAGTGGTAGAGCGCTTGCCTTGCATACATGAGGCCCTGGGTTCGATTCCTCAGCACCACATAAGCAAAAAGAAAAAAAGCCGAAAGTGGCGCTGTGGTTCAAGTGGTAGAGTGCTAGCCTTGAGCTGAAGAGCTGAGGGACAGCACCTAGGCCCAGAGTTCAGGCCCCATGATTGACCAAAAAAAAAAAAAAAAGAGTGATTGGAGAGGTAGAAGAGCATAAGATTTTATGGCATTGTGTGTATAGTTGTTTTGATCTATACTAGGGAGAGATACAGATCCTACTTTGTGTGAAATATTCCTGAAGGGATTGCTAATGTCTGGCTGCTGACTCATGCCGAGACCACTCTGAGCAGGCTGCCTCCGCTTATCCCTACTGACCGTGTGCAAATATTTCTAGAGCAGCATAACTGCTTCAAGTGCAAGACTCTTCTAATAAATCTCCTATGACATTCTTTGGATGACCTCGCTTTACCTCCAAGGGAGAAACGTTCCTGTAAGAATTCCGTGGAGGATGGGGTTCATCTGAGCTCAGATGATCTGTCCTTGGTAGTGCAAAATATTTTCCCTCTATTTGGATGCTTGGATAAACCCCAGGGGTTTTTCTCTCGCTGAAGCAAGGACATCGGACCCAGCTACAGCTGGGGTCTCCCAGCTGCTGCCTTAGCTTATCTCACAGTGTTCAGAGATACAGCAAATGTCATGGAGACGCGAAAGCCAAGACACTCATCAGTAACACTGTGGATATTCTAGTGGCTTTTTATGTTTTGCATTATTCCACAATTAAGATAGCCTAAGTCATCTTTTTCCGCCCTCCATTTTCCAAGACAAATCAAGTGAAGCAAAGGATTAGATACAAATTCTGAGAGATAAGTATGTCGATCTTGATCTGGTAGGCTTCTTCCTGAGAAAAGAATTGATCTAACCTCTTCTTGTCCTTTTCCCAGCCTGCTCTTCTGTCTGGCACCAAGAGACTGCCACCAGCCAAACATGGGGGTGATCTGGGGAAGATTTTGCATTCTCTGCCAGGCTAACATTTCTCGTGGGGCAAGGGGGTGGGGGGAGGGTGCTGTCCCTTCCATCTCTCCAATACCACCTCCTTTTAAAGACAGTATAAATGTAAATGGATCTAGTGATTTACAGTGGCCCTCACTCATCCCAGCTGGAGAAAATTGCTTTTGTAATGGAGCTGGTTCTCAGAACTCTTACATGTTCTCTGATTTTTCCATAAGTAAGCTGTGCTGATCACGGAGAGGGGGAGGGTGTCATCCTTCTAATTTGACCCTGGTGGAGGGGGGAGGGGTGAGAAGAACTTGACAATGTCACAGTGTTCTCACTCCACCCAGAGAGGGAGAAGTGACCCTGTCTCCCTAGAGGGGTAAAAGGAACAAGAAGGTGATCTTTTCCCTGAACAAAAGTGGGAAGAAAGCATGGAGTCATGTCTTCCTCAGTAGAAGGAACTGCCTTCCGTGACTTTATTTGCCGTGAGTTACTCTGATGCTCTAATGTAATGACAGCATTCCCAGTTTTGTACATAAAGAAGCCCAGGCTGGGGATGTCTTAGGCGCTTACTAATGCTGCGGAGATATGCTCTTTAAAAAATTATTATTAGCATCTTAAAGTAGTTGTAAAAAGCAAAAAAAGAGCTGCCATTTAACCAAGCAGTTTAGAAATACATCTTGACCACGTCACCTCTTTCAACATTCTCATCCCTCGCTCCCCTACCCGCCTCTCCCCCCTCCCACTTCTTAACTTTGTAGGATGTACGCTGGATTCTGGTCTGCATTTCCCCCTTCTTCTCCTCTTTTGTCATCTGCCGTTTTCCCCTTGACTCCACCTCACCCCTTTGGAGTACCCACTTCGTGCTGTTTCATTTTGCTGAACTTTGATTTTGCCTTTCTAAGGAATTACATGATTTGAGATCTCTCTTGAACCCACTGTATGTCAGTTAATACATTTATGTCCATTTGTATGCCACTCAACATATTTGGAGTTGGTCAGCTAAATCTAGTTTCCACATAGAAGGGAAAGCACACTTCCTCTGCTCTCTGGGCCCGACTTACTTCACTTAATCTAACTTTTTCCCCAAGCCTTTCCATGTCTTTACAAGTGATACACTATCATTCTTTCTAATGGATGTGTGCATATACACTGCATTGTCTTCATCCATTAGCCATTGAGAGGTCTAGGCTGAGACATGCTTTTTCATTGATAGCAACACTACTGAATATTATACCTGGGTCATGAACCAGCTGATCCCTTCAGAATAAGAAGTATTCCATTTAGATAATGAAAATACTCACCAAAGAAAGTTGAGGAGAAGTTGAGAAAACCTCTTCTGTCTTATACATATGCAAGACATATTCTAGTCAAGGGGCTTTCCGAAACATTTTACAGAAACACCTTTTATTTGATCATATATTTTAATTTTTTCATTTACATGTTTTATTTGGGAATGTTTATACCAGAACAGTGAAATTAAACTTCAGAGACAATGGATATCATTAGCTTAGTTACCATCAGTTTATTATAAAAGGGAGCTATGGAAATTATGTACACGATGAAAGATCTCAGAACTCCCATGGAACGGGCAGCTTCACAGGAAGCCGTTTTAGTGATGGATTCACTCTACATACTTCCCAAGAATGCCACCATCCCTAAATAAGAAGTAATCCTTGTCATCGAGAACTACTTTGGTGCCTCCATATTCTGGGAGAAGAACTTTATCACCCACTTTCACACTAACTGGCTGAATCTCTCCACCCTTTCCTTTAGAGCCCGATCCCACAGCCACTCCTGTGGCTTGCAATACTTTTCCTTGAGACTTTTCTGGAAGCATAATGCCTCCTTCGGTTACAGTTTCAGCTGCACTCCTTTCAACCAACACTTGGTCAAACAGAGGAAGGAACTTCCTGAACGCTTGTCCGGCCATGACTCGTCGTGGAGTCTGCTCTCACACCAACACTGCAAGGACAGACCCACAGTCGGGCTTTAGCTTATTTTTGATAGTATTACAGCCTTCCGCTTGCTGGGCAGGCATGCTACTGCGTGAATCACACCCTGCAGGCCTGTTCGTTTAATTTTCAGATAGGGTCTCCATTTCCCTCCAACCTCCACCTCCAAAGTAGCTGTGATTTAGGCGTATGCCACCTCACTGATCGCCCAAAACAATTTTCATTTTGTCACCTAAAACCAAGACTTGCATAACGTTTCTTAAACTAGCCCTTTTGATAGCAAATGTGGTTGACACTCTGCTGATTAATTTCATGATCAATTGCACCGAGAGCTATCCAAAAATCACTCTCTAAATCACAAAAATGAACACAAAAAGCATTCATCCCCCACCCTAGTTTTTAAAATCATCTCTCCCAACTTTCTTTCATCTTATACCGGTTACCTCTCTGTTCAAGACCTAAACTACTCCATCATTTTTTTCCCCTTCAATTTGCTCTGTTGATTGAAGACCTTTGACCTTTGAAATGTATGTAGTAGAAGTTAAAGCTTCCAAGAGTGATTGAGATTTAGACTTGACCTCCTGAGCCATATGTTGGATTTTAATGGAAGACATAAGCATTTGGTTTGTTTTAGCTTTGTAGATGCTTCATGTCAGGATCTTAAACCACAATAGCTACTCTAATCCTTTTGTTGTCCGCATCAAGGAATTTGAGCTTGAAGTGGCTTCAATTTCTGCAATCATGGAAAGGCTTGAAAGTGGGCCAGAAATAAGTAACTTTGTAGCTTGAGTGATGCTCCCCAGGATGGCCTAATATATACTATCCGTCTATATTATTTCAGTATCCAACACTTTTGGGTGTAAATTCTAGAATTCATGAATTATTCCATGAAGATTTTTGTGACCTAGAAGGTTCAAGACTTCTCTTTTCTTCTTTTTGTGGAGTTAGGGCTTCAACTTCTTGTTCAGGTTGTTTGCAAAGTTAGTCTAATAATTAACTATGGAAGTGAAATAGAAGGCAGAAATGGTCCTACATGAAGAATAGTGAAATGGATAGTGTTCCTGGCTCAACTTGGATCTCAGCCACAGCTTCACGGGCAACAGGAATTCAAAGGATCATCATTGATGGGTTGAAAGCATTTCTGTAGTGAGTCAAGAAACAGAATCAGGGCTCTCCAAGTCTCACAGGTCACGGGGCCTCTCATCACACTCTAGTACAAATCTGGATTTTTTTCTTTTTCTCTCTTTTTTTTTTTTGCTTCTCCTCATGCAATTCTATTCATCTTAGGAGCTCAAGAAATAAATGCATATTTATACATGTGTTAAGCTTTTAGCCTAGAAGCAGGGGAAAGAAAAGGACCTTAAATCTCATCAGTGTACAATAGGATAAAGAAGTGGGGAATATGTTCCCTAAGTATTGGCCAAAAGTGAATGTTCAGGAAACTCACGGTTTCTGTTTTCCTGGGGGGGGGGGGGAGATTTTCTTAGTTTGCCGTCCTCTCTCCATCCAGACATTATGAATCTATTGATTCATATTCCTCACCCTGCCGTGTAGATGTCAGATTTCATACAGTGCTTCCAAGGTATCATGCCTACTACAGGTCTTATAGAGCCTAGGAGCCATGAAATAACTCTATCTTTCAAAGTCATATTTGAAAGAGTTAAAACTTATTTTAATGCCAGGTACTGGTGGCTCACGCCTATAATCCTTGCTACTCAGGAGGCTGAGATCTGAGGTTCATGGTTCAGAGCCAGACTGGGCAGGAAAGTCCATGAGACTCTTATCTCCAATAAACCACCAGAAAACTGGAAGTGGCGCTGTGGCTCAAGTGGTAGAACAGTAGCCTTGAGCTAAAGAGCTGAGGGACAGCGCTCAGACCCAGACTTCAAGCCCCACAACTGACAAACAAACAAACAAATAAACTTATTTTAAAACTATGGGGGAAACCTCCAACAGATACTGCTGCCTCTGTGGCATCCAGTTTTCAAGAAAGCTTCGAAGCAGGTACATATCTTCTTTCCAGGCATTCAAAGAGTAAGAACAGGTCAAGTTCAAGCTGCTGTTAAATTTCTGAGACCAAAACTGCAGTAAGAAAGATTAAATGCCATCACTGGTACTAATAATCAGAATGAATGGCCCAATGCTTTCACCCAAACTGAATGTCTAAGTGACTTCAGTTGCCCACACAAACACAGGAAGCTATGAAAAGCTAGCAGCTGTTCTCTTCTTGAAACCTTCCATATTAGACATGGTAACTCATGCATCTTTTGGTTCACCATCACTTTGATCTGCACTACAGGACTTTACCCAGGAGTAGATATATTCCTCCCATTGGTTTCTTACACACTTCAGGATTTAGTTTCTGAGTCAACATCTGCAGTAGACTAGCTCGTTATCTCCCTCCCTTTTGCTTTGTTGCAAGGTAGGTAAAGGATCTCTTAGAATTAACTACTCTTTATGAAACAAGACAGATAAATAGACTGTGGAAAACATAGTGCCATACATAGAAGTGTTCAAGAATTCTTGAATGTCTTCATATACATATATATGTATGTATATTACATATTACATATATATGTATATACATTACACACATGTAATAGGTATAATATATATTTGGTATGTATGTAATATTCTTGATCAAACCTAGTTGAATGGATGCCCCTCTGTTCTTTTGTTGATATAGCTCAAGCAGCAAGATCTGTGCCTTTAATGGGTAGGTGTCCCATTGTTTAAAAATTCCATGTGTTGAATAGAATTCAGTGAATTAGGTGAACTGTATCATCACCAATCTAATTTGATCTTCAGGGTCACGGCCTCATTGCTTGTGGCAAGTCAGTCTATCATGGCAAGGAGTATGTGGTAGAGGAAACTGAAGACCTCATGGTGGCCAGGACAGAGGTCTCTGTCTCTCTTTCTGTTTTCCTGGCAGAGAGATAGAGAGACAGACAGACACAGGCACAGAGAGACTGAGAGACAGAGACAGAGAGACAGAGATGGAGAGAGACAGAAACACCAGTATTGCCTTCAAGGGTCCACCCCCAATAACCTAACTTCCTCTAGGGCTTACTTCTTAAAGGTTTCATTGCTTTCTAAAAGCTCCAAGTTCTTGATCTTTGACACACAACCTACAGTGGATCTTTCAGGTCCAAATTATAACATATATTTAGTGATGGAATAACAATTTGATTATGTTATCCTGATATTTATGAGGAGTATTAAGTGACTTATATGTGCCAACACTGTGCTATGTTCTGCATAGAATAATACACTTAATCTCTCATGACCTTTTGTAATAGATGATGATGGCGCGCACACACACACACACACACACACTAATTGTCTTCATTGCTAATACTTGACTTCGGAATGAAATTCTCCTTGGAAAGTTATATAAGCCAAATACTCTGGAAAAGGAAAGGAAATATGTCATACATTGGCTGTCTTAAATAGCTAGTTATAGCATTCATGCTCTACATCGTAATTGTTTAGACACAAGTCTGTCTCTACTAGACTCTTAAACCACTTGTGAGCGTTTGGCTTGTTGCTTTTGGATCCCTAGTCCTTAGCATAAAATAAACATGTCAGTGTGTAGTGAATGTGTTCGGGAGGGGATAGGAGAATGGAATTGACATGATGTTAAAGAGGCAACATAAGGAAAAAAATTGTATGATTGCCATATAATCCTGTCACTTCCCGGTTATGCAGTTCAGACATCAAGACCCTTAAAAATACTCTCTCCTCTGGTTGTGAGGGTATGGGTTACAATGGAAAGTAACATTTCTCCATCTCATATCTGTGTTAACCATGTAGCTCAATTGTTAGTCATTTTGTCCTTACTTGGGCCAGATAGGTGAGTATTGTTTCCATCAGTTTGAGGACTAAACAATTAGGTCTCAAAATCCCTTTTGTTTCAGATCAAACAGTGTCTTACAGCAGAATTTTTGTAGTACATTTTAAAGTATTGCCTTTAAAATGCACATGGACCTGATGTGTAGCCTCCCCCAGAAAGATGTTATATCAAAAGACTTTAGATTCTAATGTGGAGCCTGTATTATATCATTGTCTATCCTTACTATGGGATTAGAGCATCTTTCTTTTTCTCATCCTTAAAATCTGAACATTGCTCATTTGTGCCCTCAGACCATGCCAATGAGTTCTTTGAAATCTCTAAATGGAAAGCCCTATGTAAACAACAACAACAAAAAAATATGGTAACCCAAAGACAGTAAACCATTGAAAGGAAGTAACTTGGGGCTAAAGTATCAAGTTTAATCCTTTGAATTCTTTTCTCTCTAAGCAGAGACAGAGTGGGGCACATCTTTCTCAAAACTCCCCTAGAACCACACTCTAAAGAGTTGGGAATTCTGTTTAGTTCTACTAAAGATAAAGGGCTAAGCAAATCACACCAGTATACACCAGCCCATGGCTCCAAGGAGTCTAGGTACATCAAACCAGATGTTCAGACTCCTGAGCCATGCCCTCCAGCTGTTTTAGGAAAACATATTTTAGTCTAAGAATGAACATTTTGCTTGTCATCATGGAGCTCTGTGGAGCTTACAGCGAAGCAAAGACTGGCGCTACTTTTTAATTTGCTTTGCTATTGTTAAACTTTGCTTGTTCTTGTGGTCTACTTTATTTGTGTGTGTGAGGATCTGTAACGTTTTCATTGTATCTCTTGGTATTTGGAGTGTGTGTGGGGGGGGAGGGGTCAGTGAGGCCTGTAAAGTCATTAGATTTTATCTTATTTTCCAATAAGAGATTTAAGTTCAGCAATTGATTTTGTCTGAAACTTGTCGATTGGTGAACAACGTTGGCCCCAGATCAGAGATTTTTTTCTCTCCCAGTTTTGTACAATATATCTTTCTGTGTTTGCCCATTTGTATTCTAGAACAGTTCTATCATGTATTACTTCATGCTCAGTGCTGTTTCAGACTCTACCAGTTTGAAGATACACCACCAGTGGAGCAGAGTAAAG